ACATGAATGACTAGATTAACACATGTAATGCATAGGATGTAATTATCTTCTCTTTTGAAGTAGTGTCTGTAATGTGTTGGATAAGAAGAGAATACTTAGTGATACTAACGTAATTTGAGGTTTTCTTTTTATTCTGTACTTCTAACAATTAGCACTAATAACAAATGTAATAAAACTTTGCAAGTGTTAAAAAAAAAAAGAGGAATCTTTATTATTCTAAAGGAACCTTGTTCTAAAGTTGTGTATTTCATTCAACAATTCAATAACATTACAATGACTTGACACTATACATGCCACAGTACCTGACAAATCTAGTTCATCAAAGTAATCATTTGTTCAGTACATATAAGAAGACCTTAAGATCTTTTTTATCTGTTCAAAACATTTTTAGAATAGTTTGTCATTTTACTCTTGTTTTTATGTCTTTTAAGTTAGCCTTGAGCCGACACTATATTTGTTAGCAACGCTGTAGAATTTAAATTAACTTCTCATTATTATTTTGTTATTGTTTTTTTTTTCATATTATTTCTCTTGCATAGAAATTAAGTTGACTTATTATTATTATTTTCTTTTTTTTTTTTTTATTATTGTTCTTTCATTGTCCAGGAGTTCCTCCAACGACAGGGCTTGAGCTTCACATTCTACTCATCATAGGATTCGTTGCTGTCATTGTTGTGATCATAGCAGGCTATTTACTGTACAAATTTGTTTCACGGTTGTTTGAACGGATACATGAGCAAAGAGTGCAAGCTGCCATGACAAGGGCTATTAACATTTTTCATTCCCAAGAGCCATTGGAGGAACGACAAGACATGGTCCTTCTCAGACCTGGAGGTCAGTTATATGCTAGCTCTTAACTATCATTTCTAAATTAACTTACCACCTAAACACTTTAAATTTATTTCATAATTTCATAATAAAATATAGTGTTTTTTTTTTACTTATATTATTTATTTAGTTGGAGGCGCAGTGGCTGTAGGGTGAGGCGCAGTGGCTGAACGGTAAACCTCTTGGCTTCTGAACTAGAGACCAGGGTTCAAATCCTGGTGAAGACTGGAATTTTTAATTTCGGGATCTTTGGGAGCCTCTGAGTCCACCCATCTCTAATGGGTACCTGACATTAGTTGGGGAAAAGTAAAGGCGGTTGGTCATTGTGCTGGCCACATGACACCCTCGTTAACTGTAGGCCACTGAAACAGATGACCTTTACATCATCTGCCCTATACACCACAAGGTCTGACAGTGGAACTTTTTTTACTATTTACTATTTATTTAGTTAGCAGCTCCTCATTAATCTTCGGATTCAAAACGTCTTATTATTATTTGTGTATTTATTTTTACCAACTGAAATTTTCACATATCTTCATAAGGTATTTTTAAACTGTAAGCAATATGATTCTAAGTGAAGGCATAATAAAATTGTATTCTTACAAAGCTTATATCAACTCACTCTGTCTGTCTGTCTGATAAAAAGTTTGTACACACTTTATTTTTCCCACACCAAATCTCAGATTAAGTTGAAATTTTGCACAATTAGTTCTTTTACCTGACAACACAAGAATAAAAAAAAAAAATCAAACAATTAGTTGGTAATTGGTATTTAATTTTTTTGTTTATCTTAAAATGATCATGTAAACATTCTCCAAGATAACACTCCCCCTTTCACAACTGGTCCAGACAAGTGATAGAATCATAGCGCATTGAGAAAGCTAAAAGCTAAAAAAAAACAATGGTAAAAATATTTCTCATCTCACAGATTTATTATGTCTAGGCCAGTCATGCATATCATTACATGACTGGTCCAAACTAATTGATACAATTACGTTATAAGCTTTGTTTTTTGATAAAGTATTTTAAAATGTTTTTCTTGTTTTGCATTAATTTAATTGGGCAAAACAATATTAATAAATGATATTTAGGCCATTACACTTCCTATCCTTATGTTATGTTTTGTTTTATTCTAGATCTATATTTTCATTTACAATACACTTTTTTAGCCTTGTATAAGTTAGTATTATGGAGGTGTGTAAAAGAAAAAACATTATTTTATAGTAAATGTTTGTTATGTTAGTCTTTACTAGAGGAGGTGCTCTTTTTCCCTTGTCATTTCCTTTTATTTTCTTCCCCCTATGTCACTGACACATTTAAAGTACATCTCTATTTAATGTCGTAGCTGTCGGAAGACATAATATTGGTTATTTGTTCATGACTTGGGGGCTGCAGATTTTTCATTTCAATTTCTTATTCATTATGTTTTTTATTCATTGATCATTAATTTTGCACTTTTGGGACGACTTGAAGTATTAGCTACCTTTATAAGTAAATAACATTTAGCCTAAACAGTGAATGAACTCTAAATATATTCAACTTTTGAATTTATATCTTTTTAAGAGGGTCACTTAGCAAGTCAAAACCCCAGAGCTGCATCGATTGCTTTTGTCCATTCTGACGGTCGTATAGAAAGGTTTCGTTCACTGCCTAAGGAACATCCTGAAGAAGTGGAAACAAGAGTAGCACTCCCATCACCTTCTCTCAAACATTCTGAACAGAGCAGGCGTGGAGTTCGTCAGAGTGCAGAAAATGACTACGTGGCCTGTGATGTTGTCTCAGTCGCAGCTCATCTCAAAGCAGCTCACAAAGTGTCATCACCAGTGCTCCACCCTGTCCCCTGTCGGGTGCAGGTAAGTGACTTTGGAGATGCAGTATCTATTGGAGGCTGTGAGATGCCCCCTTCATATGAAGAAGCTTTAGACATGCCAGGCCCAAGTGCCTTGTTGCTTTCTGCCCATGAAGATGGTGCTGCTGCAGCAGTACAAAGTATTGATAGCTCAGAAAAGTCACAAGTGGATTACATGAATGTTAACTTTAATCTTGCACCTTCAGAGTCCAATGATGATTTGGACTGTAGTGACAGTGGGGAGGCATTGTTGGCTAGATACGTAACATGAATAGAATCCTGATGTAAAGTAGATCCATCCATGTACGTATAAAGACAAACACCGTCTCGCATTTATAACAATGTTTACTAAAAGCAGCTACCTGGAAATTGGAAAAAATTATATGAAACATTAATATGTGTAAACAACGGAATGTGTAGAAGTAGTTCCCATAAATGTAAAGAAAAATATATAACATGAATTCACCATAACCTATTAGTGCTGATACTATTCATATTAGTCATTTGAAATGATTTTAGGTTATGTTTTTATGTTTGTTATTCCTTACATAATTGATGCTAAACATCTTTTACCTGTTTTAAATGATCTTTATTTTTTTAATAGCAGCTGCTTTTTTTCTGAATTATCAATTATACATATTAAATGAATTATGTTGATAATTCTGTAGTATTTGAGCCATGGTTGTCTTAAGATTTTTATATGCATTTGTGCATTTTTTTTTGTAGCTATTAATAGAACTCTTTGTATTCTCTTTTCATTTTTTTGTTGCTTTGTTGCAAGTTGATGATGTTCAGGATATAATTGGAACCTTCAGCATATGAGAATTTTATACTGTTAATACTATTATAGTACTGGGATCAGTCATTCAGATCTGTGAGAAGCTAGTGCAGTCCTCAGACATAGAATTCTCATTGCTATACTAGATTAAAGCTGTTTTTTTTTTTCTTAGCTAGCTTATAATTAATAAAGTCACTTTATTGGTGTAGTGATCATTTTGTTGTTTATATAAGGTGAGAATATCCTCAACTACACATTAGCTTCTTGACTTGGATTCAAAATTGTATAGCTTAGGTTTGTTGTCTGCTTTATAATTTTTTCATCCTGACCTGTCATGGAAAACTTTAAGTTCTATCCAAAAGTAATAAACAAATAAGGAATTTTGAGCTTATCATCATCTGTCCCTTGATTTTCGTCGTAGGGCTGCTGTGACAGTTTGCGTACCCAAATCCCTCCACATTTCCTGGTCAGCAGCTGTCCTTAGCAGGAAAGGCAGGTCCATTTTTTTAATGTTACCCTTTTTTCATGCTCCCTCCACTGTACCTTGAACAATGACTTTTGATAGTGAGTCATGTATTACTATATGATTGAACTAGGTTAACTTTTGTCTCTTCACAGTATTGAGTAGTTAATGTTTTTACAAGAACTTTTTGTCAATATTATAACATTTTTTTTTTTGGTTGATAAATGTTTTGAAATTAACAGTCTATTCAGTTCTGTTTGATCATTTTTTATATAATTTTGTTTATAGCTATTTGATCATTTCTCACCTTTCCAACAATGGAGACAGTAATTAACTTTGTCAGACTTAAAGTACAAACTTTATGTTCCTGTAAAAAAAAAAAGCTATAGTGCCATCCAAATCTAAATTTGGCACCCTGAAATCTTGTATTCTACATGGATTAAAAGTTCTCTTTTTGCAATGAAATCATTTTTATGATGTGATTTAAAATTAAGTCATAAGGTAATTAGAAAGACTTCATTATATCATATATCTGAAAAACAACAGGAAATAGTTTTATAAGGAGTTTTAAAAGAACGTTTGTTCATCTGTTTTCTTGTAATACTAAACATTATTTTTAAATTGTGTAAAATATGCCAATTTAAATTGAAAGAAAGATTATTCCCCTGTTCATTATTGATGTCATTATGAACTTACTATAGAGAGATTAATTTACTTCTGTAATATAAACATTGCTTTTTATAGCTTCAGCATTTTTTTTTTTTTAATAGTAAATTTCAAGCCCTAATGTGTGTGCACATTGGTCAATCATAAATCAGTTTTTTATTGGTTTTTTTTTTTTAAGCATGTGAAGCTTCTTGATGGAAGTTATTTTATCTTTTTGTTTATGTCATATCTTTTAGTTTCTCTGGTTTTGATATATGAATTGAATATTGTGTGAACAAATGTTTGATTATAAGCTTTCTTTCAAAATCTCATTACCGGTTCCTAAATTGTCATTGTGACCAAGTTGCTTGCCATTTAACCTGCTCCTCTAGTCTGTCTTAAGTAACTTGATTTTTCATTTATTGACTTTTTAATGTATTTTTTTTTTTTTTTTTTTTGTTTTACAAATATTGCATTCAAAAATGTGAAATATATTTTAAAGAGGGTTACGTTTGATATTTTTTTAAAAAAAGCAATTGTGTTTTCTGATTTTTAGCTATGGCTTTGACTATGTTTGTTTTGATAAGCCTAAAAATGTATCTTAAGTTTTGCAAATTGTCAAAATTGAGTAAGATTTCAGTATTCCAAATCAAATGCTGTTCATCAAAGTCTTGTTCGGTTGAAGGAGAATACATTGAAGAACATTAATGCACATTTCTCTTCTCATATGCTAGGATAAATTTGTACAAGTGCTCCTTCTTCACTTGGTGCCATTATAGCATGGAGCAGGTTGCCTGTATGAGCCAGGAAAACCAATGACCAATTAATTTTATAATATGCATGACTAGATTAACACATGAATATGGCTTGGATGTAATTATCTTCTCTTTGGATGGAACGTATAGGATTACCAACTGTAGTCAGTGGATAAAAGTTGTAAATAACAAAAAAAAAAAATATTTTTATTTACATTTAATCTTGCCATTTGTATTTGTATATAGAAACGCAAACTTCTTTTGAGTGTTTATTTTAAAGTAACTGTAAAATTGTTTTACCGTGACACAACGCTCAGACTAAATTGTGCAAAACTGACCAGACTTTTCAGTTGTTATAAAGAAGTGACAGTTCAAGTATTAGTTTCTGGTAAATTATAAACCTCCAAATATAATACTAAGGCCTTTATGAAGGGGAAAAAAAAAATGAATTCCTGATTTTTATGGACACAATTTTGATGCTCTATTGTAAAGCTGCTTTGGGTAAAAAATTTAAGGATGGAATATGCCTGTAAATTAAACAAGTTTTAGATAAATTGTTGTAAGTAAACTGTAGATAAATCTGTGATGCTTTTTTTTTTTTTTTTTTAACTTGTTTCTCTTATTTTGTGCCAAAGCTTTTTTTTTTTTCATTTTGTTTTTCTGACTAGCTTTTAAAAAAAAAATGTAAATAAAACTTGTCTGACTGACCATTTCATGTTTTGCTTATTGTTGAGAATGTTGATTGTTGAGAGTGTTGATTGTTGAGAATGTTGATTGTTGATTGAATGTTAGTGTTCCTGGCATTGTTTTTCTCTTGCAGGCAGCCTACAGTAAAGCAATCATACAATGGAAAACATGAAAAAAATACTATTTTTAAAAAACAAAGCTTATATTAAGTGTAATTGGATCAATTAGTTTGGATCAGTCATGTAATTAAATTTGTACTAGATCTAGACTAACAATAATAAATATGTGTGATTAGAAATATTTTTACCAATTGTTTTTGTTTAGTGCAAGTTCATGCTTTTAGCTTTCTCAGTGACCTTATCACTTGTCTTGACCAGATGGAAAGGGGGAGCTGGGTATCTGGATTAATGTGAGTGATCGCTTCTTTATGCATTAAAAAAAAATTGTTCACTTATGGCTCAAGCCTCCTCAAGGGGACTATTTCCACTTATACCACAACAGCTGTACAATTTACAAGTACAATTTCTTTCCCTTGTTTGATACCAAAGTTAATAATTAATTACCAATAATTAATTAATTAAATTTTTTTTTTTTTATTATTTCTGTTTTGTCAGGTACAAGAAATATTTGTACAAAATTTCCGCTTGATCCGAGTGTTGGAGAAATAGCGTGTACAAAATTTTTACTAGACAGACAGAGTGAGTTGATAAGCTTTGTAAAAACATCAAAAACATCACATGTATACTTCTAAAGCACAAATTTATTGTTATTGGTCTAGATCTATTACAGATTTAATTACATGACTGATCCAAACTTATTCATACAACTACGCTTAATATAAGCTTTTATTTTTATTAAGTAATGTTTTTTATGCATTTCTTTTAGTTTTCATTGTATTAAAGAGTTTAGCTAGTCACTTGTTTTGCTGGAGTGGAAGAGGACTGCCGTTTTGATCCAAGTTATAGTGTTTCTAATAACATCTCTCTTGGGTCCCTTTTTGTTAAGGTCAAAGTCATAGAGTTAAGTATTCCTCTTATATTAAAAACCTCAGAACAGCACTTACAAAGCTCAACAACAACAGCAAATAAAAACCCTGTTATTTAATGGATCCCAGCTCATATAGAACTAGAAGGAAATGAGAAGCCTGACACACTCGCCAAGAGTGGGAGAACTAACTCACTAATAAACTCTGCACTCTATCCAGAAGAATTGAAGAAATTAATTGTAAATAAAATAAATGAGAAATGGACGAGCTCTCATCCAAATCACAAGAAAGATGACGCTTACTATAAGCTATCCCGACAAGACCAACGTCTAATCTTTCGACTCAGGACCGGACACAACAGAATGCGACAACACATGAACCGGAAGCTCAAAATTGGAACCAGTGAAATCTGCCCATGTGGAGTATCACCAGAGAATGCCGACCACTTCCTCCAAAACTGCTCTCTTTACCAAAAGGCCCGTATAAGACATTGGCCCCAAATCACCCCAATAGAAAGAAAACTATATGGAGAGCTCCCTGATTTGGAAACCACTGCGCAGTTCATCTCATGTATTGGTCTAGTCATCTGAACACTCCAACATAACAATGAGAACGAAGAAGAAGAATAGAATTAAGTACCCCCTTGAGCCAAGCAAAAGAATCTGACATATAGCTCATTGACATATACATTTAATCAAGTTTCTGTAGATGGCTGTTGGGTATTGACAGTGGTGACCTGCATATCACCATCACAAACAGATCAGACTGATGCGCTCCTTTGTTAAAATGACTTTCTTGTAGGCTCGCGAATTCTGCCAGGATGTAGCCCTGTGTGCTGCAACATGTCTTAGGGGTCACCGGTACAGATTTTTTTTTTTCAAGGTTGACTTCCAAAGCCTTTCCCATGTTTAGGCATAGGCGGTATAGTCACAAAGTATCAGAGGTTTGAATTCAGAGTTTTCTTTCTCTATGGTGGGTGAGCCAGCCAACGCTTACTGGTTTGGGCGCCAGTTGTTAGCCTTTGCACATTTTCCTTTATAAATAATACTAAGAGAGAGAGAGAAACATGTATTATGCTACAAATGTTCATGATATTGTTATTTTATTTAGAAGAATATTTTGGGTTCTATATTTTTTCCCTTTGAATTACGAAATTTTCTAAATAGAAAAACATTTTCATAATTACTTTTCCGTAACTCAATCGATTTTTTTTCAGTTTTTTTAAGTAACCTAATGTGTTGTTTTTAATGTTTTATCTATTATATATGTACATAATTTTAATTTAGGATAATGCATTCAGGTAAGCCTTAGATCCCCAGGGCTATGTTATTAAGATGCCTAAAATAGTTGCTTGTCAAACTTCGAGTTAGCAGTTTAAGGTTTAGGCCTATATCATGAATTTGTAGATTACGGTTCGATTTGTAGTTAATTTTTTTAAAATGAACTAATTAAATTGATTATATACCAGAAGTACCAATGCATTATAGTTATTAAAGTAGACCAAGACAGTGAACTTCTTGAGAAAAATAAATACATACATTTGCTCACTATAGCATCAATAATACGTATAGGTTAATATTCAAGAAGATAATACATGTAGCCTACATTGTATTGCTTCTTCTTGCTTCTTTCATTATTACTCTCCCTTGTGCGAAATAGTGATAGGGCCTACATACTAATGACGTAACCGTTGTACTAGAGCGTAGGCGTAGTCTATTTACAAATCCTCACGTGACCAAAAAAGTTTTCCCGAAATTGAAACAAAAAAAAATAAAAATAAATAAAAATCCATTCGAAAACGAAAATAAGCTTCTTTGAAACATCAAAATGGTGTGTTTTGTCATTTCTTTTAATTGTGTGCTTAAACACTTGTGTCTTGTGTGACTGCAAGAATAATCTGCGATACAATCAGTATTTTACTGTTCTCTTGTGTCTGTTTTCACTTGTATTCAACATTAATTGTGTGTGCATTAAAATAATTCATTTGGAAAATTTATATTCGCCCGAGTATATATCTATTATATAAATCTATCTATTATTTATAAATTAGGCCTACTATAGATTTATGGCTGATGTTAATATCTAGAACCTGGCAACAATGAGTGATCCGGAGGATACGACTGTGAGCCAATTTGTTATAAAAACATTAGATTTAGTTGAAAAAGAAAAGGATGAAGCATTGGCACGGTAAATATGATGCTTATTTCTAACTGCGGATCGTCTAGTCCTTTTAATAACTTTTATATAGTACTGATTTTGGTTAGCCTAATTTGAATTGGGTAAAACGTAAAAAAAAAAAAAATCAATAAAATTTTTTTTACTCACTTTAAAATTAATTAAATACTTTTTTAAAAAGGCTAAATAAAAATTTAATGATTACAGACAATTATTGATGTTTTAAGTTATGATCGATAAACAGATATTAGGCCAGATTTGAAAATGAGTAAATCGTAGTCTTATTTCCCATTCCCCTATATCTAAACTGGATATAAGCCTACATTAATTAACATATGATAGTTTCACATATGAAGAGCTAGCCTACAATGCCCTAATCTAGAATTAATAGAATACTTTTGCTTTTAAATTGTCTATATTTTCACATAGCGCTCACTCAAGACAATATATATATATATATATATATATATATATATATAATATATTATTTTATTATAATATATTCATATACATTTCCTAAGGATACTATATTGGGCCTGAAAGATTAATATTAATATGAACATTACAAATAAACAGAGGACTAATCTCATAGAATTCTAGCCTATAGTATAGAATCTAGTTCTACATCTAATCTTAGATATACCAATAATATTTTGATTGATTAATAAAACGGAAGTCTAACTATGATTTATTTATATCATAAAATACCGTTACGTCATTGCAACGTAAATGGGAATTCCCTTTCTTATAAATGTAACCAAGAAATCTAGATAGATAAACGGTTCTGAAATGTAACTTACAAATACTTAAACATAACCTAATATAATACTCAGAGACGCAGAGATATAATAGAGTCTAGAGATAAAATAAGGATACATTTCTTACTCTATATACTAGGACAAAGCCATTAGAATTAGAGTATGGAATATGTTGCCTGAATCAGTCAGAAAAAAACAATGACTTAGCAGTGTTTGCGTCTCTAATTAACATGCCTATGCACATGGAAACGCCTACATGATGTAATAATGTTCTCTTTTGAAGGAATGTCCGAAATTTTTAAGATACGATAACATCGTTCTGAGACTCCTTTACAATACAATTTAAAATTCACACTAGGCGGCAACCAGGGCCGCCGCGAGGATTGTGGCCGCCTGCGTGCGAAAAAAAATTCCATTATGAATGAGCTAGACACTGTTCCAAAAGTGCCCTTTGATTTAAATCCATTTTTTTAGGCAATTTAATTTTTCCTTTCATATTAGCGCCGTTGTTGTACCCCTCAAGTACAACTATGTATCATACACTAGGAACAATTTGCATTCAGAAATCTGTAAACTTGATTCTTTGTAATAAACATTCAAAGCTGATCTTGTTCAGACTACTCGCTGATATTTGCGACGATGAATTTATAATGGATGAGCTGTTATATTACAATGTCAGGAACTTGCGCCCTCCTCCGTCCACATGAGAGGAACTAGCGCCTCCCCCTACCCCCGTGAAAATGTTTATAAAATTGACTTTTTAATTACCGTAGTAGATCTACTTACAAACAACCCGCGAAAATTCAAGGCCAGAAATGAATAGGCGCCTATGGATAAGCCAATGGGAATCCTAGCGGCAACCCTCTAATGTAAAATTATATGTTAGAACTTCGTTCATAAACATAGATATATCTGATTTAAAAAAAAGAGTAAAGTTCCCCTTTAAGACCTTGCGATGTATACGGCAGATGATGTAAAGGTAATCTGTTTCTCTGGCTCACAGTTAACGGGGGTGTCATGTGGCCAGCACAACAACCAACTGCCTTTACTTTCCCCTACTAATGTCACGTACCCATTAGAGCTGGGTGGACTCAGAGACGCCAAA